TATTTTATTGTTCATTATTCTAATGTCTAAAAGTCAGACAAGATGGTTGTACTTGTGGTGATATTTGAAGAGGAAAAACAGAGACTTGAAACTGAAAGTTGGGTCGGGGCGGTGGCTTTTTGTTTTTCGTTTTTTAACTTATACCAAACGACAAATAGCAACGATCCTTATCTTTTTGAAACACTAAAAGACAACACGTGATGAGTATTGTTGTTAAAATTATGGATAAATTATATGTTTAGTATCTAAACTATAGTTTTTGGTTCGTTTTAATATCTAACTTTCATTTTGTTTGAAGATTATATTTAATATTTAGTTTTTGTTTCATTTTAATACTCTCATTGTTAAAAACTTAAAGGACATGCTGACGTGGCATAACTCCGGTGGATGGACGATCAATCCAAACGGTGGACCATGAGAAAATCACAAGTTAACCAACCTAGACCAGTTTCAAAACCATCAGACGTTGGATCATAAAATCAAACGATGAAAAATCGAAGAGTCCATCATCGATTTAGAGAGATTGAGGCGTTTTTCAGTGAAGCGGAGGTCGGAATCACGTTCAGGGGGTCGAAAAGGTGCATGTTGAAAAGTTTGGGCTTCATCGGTCGACGGATGCGAGGGTTGATGACTGTAGATGCGACGATTGGCCAGCTCATCAATGAAGTTTTTAACATAAGATTCTTAACCTTGAGGTCGTGGGATCGAGTCCCATGGAGGGCATTTCATAATTTGAAGGTCTCCTACGGAAGCTGCTCTCAACCTAGTATTGAGGGCAACCTACTATCTTACCTCCCCCTTACCCCATTACATATGGGAACAAGGGACATCCATTTTAAGAATAATATATATATATATTTTATTAAGGATAAACAATACTAAAGCTCTTATATTTTCAGTCTATGTAATTTTCATTATCGATTTTGAAAATTTTTAGTTTTGGTTACTTATATTTTTAGTCTATCCTATTTTGGTTATTGGGTCATTCAATATTGTTATTTTACTCATGTAGTATGATAATAAAAACGGTTAAATTTTAAATTCATCCCTAAATTTAGATGAAATATTATTTGATCTTGAATTTTATATAAAATACTAATTTAATCCTTAAACATTACATAAAACATCAATTTAATCATTGAATTTAGGTCAAGTGTTGCCACATCCAGAACGTGAAACTGAACAACAATAATGCAATATGTGCAATCTAGAGTCTTGTTATATCATATTCAATATGTGCAAGTAAAAATTTAATTATTATTTTGATCAAGTGATCTAAGTTATTAAAAAGAATATTGTTTCTTTTAAAGATCTTGAATGTGAATTATCATGTCTGCATGATCAATGACGGACATACGTTGATGTTAGGGTGGACATGTGTCCATATTGAAATTTTCTAGAATTCAAATATTCTTCTTTAAAATCCAAAAATTTTCATATTAATATACGGGATTCCATCATGAAATTTTATCATACCTACTTAGATTTAAAAATTTTATATTATTAATATATATGTGTTTATACTAAATTTTTTTACATCCGTCACTGTCTACAATATATTATCAACGATTAAAAAATATTATGAATATATATTACATTGTAACCTATTAATAATACTTAGAAAAGTTATAAAAGGAAATAAGAATCCTTCTTGGAGAGTGGACAAATTAAACGTGCATCCATCAGTAAGTGAAAAAAATAATTTTTGATAAAGGGAAGTCTCACGTGTGGCAGTCTAATATACGGTTAAAGAAAAATGTTATCGGGTTTTTTATTATTTTTTAATAAAATCGGTAAAAAATTACTGAAAATATTATTATTTCTACCGATTTTGTTATTATTGGGCGCTTTACTATGTTTGATAATATATTTGGTAGAAAAAATAATATTTTAGGTAACTCTTTACCAGATATATTACCAATCTCGCTAAAGAGCTCAATAATATTTTGGGTAGAAATAATAATATTTTCGATAATTTTTTACTGATTTTATTAAAAAAAGTAACAAAATTAATAGTATATTTTCTTAACTATATATTAAGTCCGACGTACTGTATAACTTCCAGATGATAGATATCAAATTATAATTTCAACTTATTTTCCCTTTTCAATAGCATCGTCTCTTTTATTTCTCTCATTATCAAATAGTGTTTTATCTTATATATATATAAGTTAAGATGAGAGAATATTTTTTATTTTCTATTATTAATTTTAGTTATATATTTTTATTAGATCCTAAATCAGTGTAAAAGATTTTTAATTTTATATTGTGTAACTATATTCTATCTCGTATAAGATTGAAATCTACTTACACAATGTAAAAACATCAATAAATATATTTTATATTTTATATTGTTAATCTTAACCGTCTATTTTCATTCATCCAACGATCCTAAATCAGTGTATTTTGTGTAACCGAATCTTATCTATATATGGGTAAATGACATTGATGGTCCCTTATATTTTCATCATGTTTAGTTTTGGTCATATTTTTTAAAAAGTAACATTTTGGTCACTTACATTATTGATTTATTACATTTTGATCATTGGCCATTAACTTCCATTACTTCAATGACGTGGTACATTAAAAAAGGTTAATTTTAAAATTAACCCCTAAACTTTTAAAAGTTTATTTTTTTCATCCTCTTCATAAAAAAACTTAAATATGTTTTTCTCCTAAAATACCTCTCTTCTCTAATCCTCCTTGTTGCAGTCCCCGTCACCAATCGTCGATCGACCTACCTGTGTTTAGAAGGTGCCAGCACCATCCATACTTACTTCATTCTCAACAACATAGACACCCTGATCCAGTTTCTGCAACAAGTAAATTACTTTCAAAACCTCCACGCTCATCAAAATTCATATTACATTATGGCATTCAAAAATATCATGTCTTTGAACTTCAACCAAGTTATCCATTCCCAGTACGTTAATTTCCTTCTTGCGTTGAGCAGGCCGCCTTCGATTATCCTCTTTCTGGATAGCACAGTCCTCCTATTGCATGAACACATCAAACATTGCTATGTACTACTTTTCTTTATCTTTCACAAGTTAAATGCAAACTTCACTCTTCCATGTTCCTTGAAGAATTGCAGCAGTTCCTAGATTTTGAAATGCAATGGTCGACCTGTTGGTAAAACACAGGGAGGTCGACCGACGGCTGAAGACGGCGGTGACTGTAACAAGGACGAGAGCTTATGATTAGAAAATATGGTGTTTTAGGAGAAAAATATATTTTAGGTTTTTTATGGGGGAAAAGTAAACTTTTAAAAGTTTAAGGATTAATTTAAAGAGAAAATAACCTCAGTGACCAAAAATCCCAGATAATATACGATTTTGACCAACTTTTTTTGGATTTGCGAAAATGACCAACAAAATCGCAATGCGATCTCTAATTCGCATTGCGATCTCCACTATCGCAAATTCGCGTTGCATTTCGCGTTGCGATAGTTGAAAATCGCGTTGCGATAGTCTACAGTAAATTAAAAAAAGATTTTGTTTCTTAAGAATTTTCTCTAAAAAGATAGTATCCGCGCGGACGTGTCGAAGATACGTATTACCATTACCATTACCAGGACCACGACCACGACCACGACCACGACCCGAGACGAGACGGCGGCGGCGGCGCGCGAGAGTCCCCCTTGTTCTCTTTCACTCAACAAGGAAATGGGAAATACAAGCCTTAAATACACTTCCATATAGTGTTTCCAATACTATGTGGGATTGAGCATTACTCAACACTTCAAAGAAAATATAGCAATTTTTGTAGCATGTTTCCTACTTAATACATATCTAAAAATATTATTTTATCATATTAAAACTATATGTATAAGTTTGAAATGAAATGTAGATATCTACAACTCTTTTAATTCTCTTGATAAAATGATAAAATGTTTTAGATATGGATTAAGTGGGAAACATGCTACAAAAATTGCTATATTTTCTTTGAAGTGTTGAGTAATGCTCAATCCCACATAGTATTGGAAACATTATATGGAAGTGTATTTAAGGCTTTGATTTCCCATTTCCTTGTTGAGTGAAAGAGAACAAGGGGGACTCTCGCGCGCCACCGCCGCCGCCGTCTCGTCTCGGGTCGGGGTCGGGGTCGTGGTCGTGGTCGTGGTCGTGGTCGTGGTCGTGGTCGTGGTCGTGGTCGTGGTCGTGGTAATGGTAATGGTAATACGTGTCTTCGACACGTCCGCGCGGATACTATCTTTTTAGAGAAAATTCTTAAGAAACAAAATCTTTTTTTAATTTACTGTAGACTATCGCAACGACACTGTAGATTATCGCAACGCGAAATGGAAAATCGCAACGACACTGTAGACTATCGCAACGCGAGATGGAAAATCGCAACGATACTGTACACTATCGCAACGATACTGTACACTATCGCAACGCGATTTTCAACTATCGCAACGCGAAATGGAAAATCGCAACGCGAAATGGAAAATCGCAACGACACTGTAGACTATCGCAACGCGAAATGGAAAATAGCAACGACACTGTAGACTATCGCAACGCGAAATGCAACGCGAATTTGCAATACTGAAAATCGCGTTGCGAATTAGAGATCGCATTGCGATTTTATTGGTCATTTTGGCAAATCCAAAAAAAGTTGGTTAAAATCGTATATTATAAGACATTTTTGATCACTTTGACGATTTTATCTAATTTAAAAATTAACCTATTATATCATCAAACTAACGGAAGTTAACGGTCTAATAATCAAAATATAATAATTTGATAATATAAGTAATTAAAATATAATTTTTTAAATATCAGTAATCAAACTCAGACAAACTAACACATAAAAGACCACGCTGTTTATCTCAAATATAAATGAATTATATAATTGTTGGCCATGTACAAATCTGACTTCATACTTAAATTAAATGTTAAATATAATTTTGAAAGTTTAGGTATTAAAATAAAATAAAAATAATAATTTAGATATTAAATGAATTGTTTACCAAATATCAACCATTTGTCTTTTCTATTTCTTTATTTTTTACGCTCCAAAATTTCACTCTTATTCTGCCTCTTTCGATCCTTCTCCAATCTTCCGGTTCACCATGAGAAACATTGGCAGTTCTCGCTCCTTTCTGTTCATCGGAGTTTTAATCCTCTGTTATTTTCCGCATGTCAGATCCGATGCCTCCGACCACCGTTACAAAGACGGTGACCCCGTCCCTCTTTACGCCAATAAGGTCGGCCCTTTCCACAACCCAAGGTAACAATTTCATTTCCTCCCCCCTTTTTTCCTTAGATCTGAAATTAATTAGCTTTTCAATGCCCTTATTTTCATTTCATAAGACCGCGTTTGGAACAGTAATTTCAAATCTAATCTAATTACATTTAACATTTTTTCTTAATTATTGTCTTAATTTGGTTTGGTTTGTTTGATTTCAGTGAAACTTATCGCTACTTTGATCTGCCTTTCTGTTCTCCAGGTTCTTTTTTGTTTATTTGTTTTATTTTATTGTTTCTAATTTAGACTTAATAAATTTATTGATTTTGGATGGAATTTAGATCATGTAAAGGAGAAGAAAGAAGCCTTAGGTGAGGTATTGAATGGAGATAGGCTCGTGAGTGCTCCTTATAAGCTGAATTTTAAAGAGGAAAAAGATTCTTCTGTTGTTTGTAAGAAGAAGCTTTCGAAGAATGAAGTTGCCATTTTACGGAAGGCGGTCGATAAGGATTATTATTTCCAAATGTACTATGATGATTTGCCTATTTGGGGTTTTATTGGCAAAGTTGACAAGGAAGGAAAAACTGACCCCAATGGGTACAAGTATTTCCTTTACAAGCATATCCAGTTCGATGTTCTTTATAACAAGGATCGCGTTATTGAGATCAGTGCAAGGATGGATCCTCATTCTCTCTTGGATTTGACGGAGGATAAGGAAGTTAAAGCTGAGTTTATGTATACTGTGAAATGGAAGGAAACTGATACTCCTTTTGAGAAGAGGATGGATAAGTACTCCATGTCTTCTTCTTTGCCGCATCATTTGGAGATTCATTGGTTTTCGATTATCAACTCTTGTGTGACAGTTCTCCTGTTGACCGGTTTCCTTGCAACAATTCTCATGCGGGTCTTGAAGAATGATTTCATTAAGTGAGATTTGTTGATATATTTGTTCATATTTTCTCGTATTTAGACTCCTTCCATTTTGGTTTGGTTGCTATAAATATTTAATTTGTCATGAAAGGTATGGTCAAGATGAAGAAGCAGCTGATGATCTAGAAGAGACTGGATGGAAGTATATTCACGGAGATGTCTTCAGGTTCCCAAAGTACAAATCTTTGTTTGCAGCTGCTCTTGGATCTGGAACGCAACTGTTCGCCTTGTAAAGATCCCGTTTATTCCATGTTTATGTTACTTTCTGATTTGTGAAACTACACTAATTTCATCATGGGCTATATGTCAATTATTGATTTTTCATTCTATTCACTTTTTGAACTTTTTATGTCTACCAGAACGATATTCATTTTTATGCTTGCATTGGTTGGTGTCTTCTATCCGTACAACCGAGGTGCTCTGTTTACTGCTCTAGTGGTCATTTATGCACTCACATCAGGAATTGCAGGATATGTAGCAACTTCTTTCTTCTTTCAGCTTGAAGGAAAGAATTGGGTACGTCTATAAGGATTTTGTATGCTAGTATTAAATGCTATTGTTTTGCTTTTAAACTAAGTGTATTTGATTTCTCGGAATGACAGGTTAGGAATCTGTTTTTGACCGGCTGCCTTTTCTGTGGGCCTTTGTTTCTCACATTCTGCTTTCTTAACACTGTTGCTATTGCATACAGTGCAACCGCCGCACTGCCTTTTGGAACTATTGTAGTTATAGTCCTCATATGGACACTAGTGACATCTCCTTTGCTTGTTCTGGGTGGCATTGCTGGCAAAAATATGAAGGCCGAGTTTCAAGCTCCTTGCCGTACCACCAAGTATCCTCGTGAGATTCCACCACTACCTTGGTACAGGAGTGCTATTCCTCAGATGGCAATGGCTGGATTTCTTCCTTTCAGTGCTATCTACATTGAGCTTTACTACATATTTGCCAGTGTCTGGGGACACAGGATCTATACCATATATAGCATTTTGTTTATTGTCTTCATCATCCTTCTGATTGTCACTGCTTTCATAACTGTGGCTTTGACATATTTCCAACTTGCTGCTGAAGATCATGAATGGTGGTGGAGGTACATAAGTTCTATAATTCTTTTTTTCATGTCGCAATTGCTTTTTGCCTCACATTTTTTTTAATACTATGAATTTTAAAATTTCATAATATATCTCACCTCTTCCTGCTTCGCTTCGTGATGAGTAAATTTCATGTCTTTTGATGATTACTGCAAGTAATTTAAGAACTGTCAAAAGAAATTGGCTATATAGTTAGCACGTTTTTGTTTTCTATAAAGGAAAATTTATTGATGATTCTTATTTTCCTGAGAATTTCTCCGCTGGCGTTTATTTTTAATGGCACCGGCTCACGTGCATGTTAGTTGAAAGCATATATTTGTATGGAATTTGGTAACAAGGCTTATGGTTCCTTGTCATTACCTTTGTCATTTTTGGGTTGTTTAACCTGTTTGATTAAACTTTCTCTGTTCAGTTGAAAGGCATTAATTAACAATACTTAGAATGACATATAGTTTGATTTTGGTGATCCGAGTTGTTAATTTGTCACAGGTCTTTCCTATGTGGTGGATCAACTGGTGTCTTTATCTACGCCTACTGCTTGTATTATTACTATGCACGATCAGATATGTCGGGATTTATGCAAACCACATTCTTCTTTGGTTACATGGCCTGCATCTGCTATGGATTCTTCCTCATGCTCGGGACAGTGGGTTTCCGTGCCTCGCTATTCTTTGTTCGTCACATATACAAGTCAATCAAGTGCGAGTAAGCAGGTTAAGTTGCCCTTGCCAGTTTCCATCAGCTCTGTCTGAGAATTCTATGAATTTTGTTAGATATTAGGTGGAAGATGTGCCTTAATTGTTGGTTAGCAAATTCGGGTTGCATGCATGCTTTGACTTCAAATGCCTAACGGGAGATCTATGAGATCTGGCATGTAGGTGGTGGCATTGGCATTGGCATTGGAAATGGAGAACATTTAGGTTAGGCATCATGTATTTATATTTATTTTCTGTATGATACTCATGACCTGATACTGATGTGTGTAGAATGCTTTATTTTTTTTATACATCTTTACCAAGTAAAATCAGGGTAATTCTCCTGTGCACTCTAATTTATGATCAATTTAAGGCAGTTTTCACTTTCCAACCTAAAATATTATTATTTAACCTAAAAAATTATACAAATTGTAATATTTTAACAATACAGTGGGTTTAAGGTTTACAATCGAAAAAAATAATATAATTTGTAATATTTTCAGTTATAATCGAAAATATTATAAATATAATATTTTAAGTTTTATTAGTATAATCATATTATTTAATCTCAAAACCTAAAATTATACTATGGGTGTAGGGCTCTAAGAATACTGAAGTTAACTTCCCTTTATCAGTCACTCACTCACCCTAATCCATATTGCTTTCTAAGGAAAAATTCAAATTCTTTGATCTCCATGACCATGATATTGTAACGATTAGTTCTAAATATGTTCCATTTATCAATTCTCATGTATTATAATAATTGTTTATGAGTATAATTATTTAGATAATCAGATGTGTTTTTAATTGCAAATGATCAAATAACTCGCAAAAAGAATAATAACACTACATTTAAGAATGAAAATTAAATAGAATCCATACCTTAGTAATAAAAGAGAATGTTATTTCTCTTAAAGATTTTAAGTTCGAGCAGTTGTATGTGCAGGATTGTGTTGTGTAGTGTTAATTGATTAAAAAAAATATAAATAAATACTAACTTGTAATCATTCAAACTATTAAAGAAAAATAAAAATTAAGTAGGGATTAGTATGTCAATGTCTTAAAGTGTGCATGTGCATGGTGGGTTAATAAAATAAATCCTTATTATAAAAGTAGGAGTTTTTCCATCTCCTCCCATGTGGGATAGCTATCCGCGAAGATCAACACAAGGATAAGACAAACCAACTTTTGTGAATACTATATTATATAATGTATAAATACAAGTATTTTAATCGGATTACTACAAGGGAAAAAGGCTTGTGGCGAAGCCTAAGGCACTTTCTATTTGCTATCTAAAGGACAAAAAAGGAAGCTGCGTTAAAAGATGGGGGAAGAGAGCCGCATGTGGAACTCTCAAACAAATAAACCGAAGGATGAGAAAATGGAAACCTTTTAGTTATATCTTCTCCTTTGCCTTGGCTCCAATTGCGATAGTTAATATATATAATGTTAAAATTCACTCTTAATGTTTTATTAAATAATTATTTTGATTTTGATTTTGATTTTTTAAAATATTTTACTTTTAGTATTTTGTTTTAGATTGAATAGATTTTTAATTGGGTTAAAATTATTAGTTGTTTAACCATCAATATTTACCGTTGATATAGAAAGTCATATGTGTCCAAAACACTAACATAATACTGTTATATGTACATAAATAATGATGTGACACATATTACGTGTACATAAATAATAACGTATCATATATTTAAAGTGTTGACGTAAGATGAGTCTGTCTAAAGTGATGATATATAACTATCGTATGTCCAAAATAATTGAGACAGATAGAGAGAGAAAGAGGGCAGGTGTGTTCTATGTTTGAGAATGACTATTGCCTGCCTCCAACCATTTCAACTATGGCACTGAAAAACATGGTGCGTTTTTTTAACACAAGCATTTAAAAGGGACACAAATGTAATGAAAATGACATCCCTTTTCCTTCTAACCAAACATTGAATTTGTGTTCGAATGGTTCTTCCTATTTTCTAGCCAAAATGGTCCCCCGACATATTCCAACCCAATGAGAGGAGTTTCATGTTCATTTATAGACATGGATAGCTACAATTATGCCTCCAATCTTACAAGCAATAACCCATTTTTGGGATCCTTTCTTTCTCCTATTCTTTTTCCTTGCTTTTCTTCAAGCCTAAGTAAAATCCATCAAGACAAAAAGAAAATCATGTAATTGCATTTCAACTAACCATCACAGATCAGAAAAGGATACAACGTTACGCTTCAACCAGGCTTTTAAAATGGCAAGCTAAATTTAGCATTGATTTTTCAATATACATATAAGAATCCCAAGGTGTAATAATTTTTTTTCTTTTCATAGAATCAATAATATAGATGTTGTTGTGCTTCACTGCATTACATTAAATTTCACCATCTACTTTTCTTATTAAACAGATGAAGATGTAATAAATCAAAGTACCGAAATTTGTCCGACGAAGTTAACATGGCATTGACAAGATAAACTCATAAACAAAGAGATTTTAATGGCTAAGAATCGATCATTTCCGTTGTTTGATTGACTTGCCGCCACTCTACTTCCCCTTCCGTTGTTGTGGACGATATGTAACTCATAGCAAGTGAGGTCTCGTCAGCTGGAACCGCAGCTGTTGATGTTTGAAATTGGTGCTTGCAAGCTTGACAAGTGATTTGTATGATAGTTGCACTTATCTTCTTTGTTGCTTGATCTTTCAAGACTTGAGCTTTCTGGAGTTCACCTAGGGCTTGTTGCCTTATCCTTTTAGCACTTACAAACTCAAGCTCAGCCATCTCGATCAGCTTCTTCGCTTCGAGTCTAGTCTTTTCGGCGTAGCTATTCTCTGCCATCGCCAACTTTAGCTCCTCACTGGCATTCTTTTCACTAATTGTATCTAAACTAAGCTTGTTGGTTTCACTCTTTTCGCCACCGTCACTCGACCCTATTGAAAGCTTCAAATAAGTGGCGCAATTCTCATCCGAATTCTGGGGTAACTGAGGAGTTGATGACGGTAGAAGCTGAAGTTCAAGGTTGTTTCGGTGTTCATAAGCAGACGCATTGCCATGCAAGAAAGCAGGCTCGGTTGATTTCAGCATTGGCAATCCAGGCAACACCGCGGCCATGCCAAAGTGGGTATCGCTTGAAGGACTAGTGCTTGAATCCGACCGAGAGGAACAGCCCCGGTGCAGCGCCTGCAATTCGGGTTGAACACCTAGCCCTCCACCGGTGCAAGCATCTTGGTGTTCAATGAAACTCTCCACCCTGAAACAACAAAACACCAAAACAACGATAAGAAAAGATATGATAATCACATACGATATATAGGAAAAGGGAGAATAGAAAAACGAGTGGGATGAGCCTTGTTGTTGTTGTTTTTGTTGGGGTTTCAGAACTGACCTGGAAAAAACCCGACCACAGTCACAAGAATGGCCTCGGGTGCCACAAATCTTGAGATGAGCCTTGTAATCAGACTGAACCGCGTAACCTTTGTAGCATTTCTGGCAAACCCATTTCTTCTGATTGCTGTGCTTCCTCTTGAAATGTTTCTTGATGCCAACCAGATCTCCCAAGGCATGGCAAGGGTCATGGTGCAAGCAATTTGGTTCTGGGCAAACGTATACCCTCTTTTTCACCTCTTCTGTCTCCCTTTTCAGCAGATTCCATGGAACCTTGTGCCTTCTCCTGTGCATTTGAAGGTTCTGGTCTCTTTGGAACCCTTGGTTGCAGATCTCACACACATACCTGTCTGATTCCAGCAACGTTTTTGGTGATAAAGAAACCACCTCTGCATCCGGATCTACATTGACAAACATAAAAAGAATTGAAAACCAATTGAGATAAGAAGAAAAAAGAACAGGGTTTGCTTTTATTTTTATTTTTACCTGGGGTACCTGCAGGCCTTCTTTTTCTTTTCTTTGTGACCCCATTGAGATGATCAGAGGAAGGAGATGGAAACGCTGGAACAGTAATGTTATCCAACATGTTGCTATTGCTGCGAGCCTTGGTTAGATTACTATAAGTTGAAGTAAAAACAAATTAATCAATCAATCTTTTAGAAACATGGAGGGGAACTCAGCTTTATTGATTAATACAAAATGGATAGAAAGAGAAAGAATAAAAGGGAAAATAAAAAGGAAAGGCTTGTTTAGAGAGAGAAGGCGGGGAGGGAACATGAAGAAGAAGAAAAAGCTTGGTATTGCTTTCTGCAATCAGCGCTTTCTTTTAAGCTTTTAAAGCTTTAAGACAACTTTTTTTTAAAAGAAAAAGAAAAGAACAAAAGAAAGCTTCTCTTTTTCTTGGATTTGTTGTTTCATTCATTCACTGAACCCCACCTTCAGCAGTTGCAGTTAATGTTGAAGGGCAGCCAAGTCTTTGTCTATAAATAGTTTTGAGAGTTGGGGAGAATTTGTGATGGAATCTAGTTCGAGTATTATTAAATTAAATTTAAATTAAATGTTTAATTAAATCGACATAGAATAATTTACTATTTATTTCGTCTCATTTATACTCCTACCTCCCCTTCTAAACAAATCCTCATTATCTATTCACATTACACCCTAAATTTGCATGATTTTCCTGGTTGCATATACAACCAGACATTATAAGCCATGCTAAAAGAATTGGTTGATTAATTAAGCAAAGCTGTAAACTTGAATGAGAGCCAACTAAAAACCTGATTTAATTGATGATTACTGTTTTGTCGCAGAGGGAAGCTTTCCTTGAGGTGAAGGAAGCAAGATTTGTCACTTTCAATATGGCTGTAATCATTGCTAGAATAAAAGTTTACCCTTTTTCTTCTCTTCTCTTCTCTTCTCTAGCTTTCAAATTTGTACTTGAAAAAACCAACTTTCAAATTTGAAGTAAACATGTGCCCTTCTCTCATTGTAACTCCTTTCTGAAAATACAAAACAAAACAATAGGGTCCTAATGATTTTGGTTGGTTGAAGGTCACACGGCTGAGTTATAAAATTTATGGTAGCACATGTAGTTATATATAACTGATCAATTTTTGGGAGTTGAAATATTATTATACCTTCAAAGAATACTCGTTGGAGGTTGTCACCCAGACCACTAGATAAATGGAACCCTCAATGACCTCCAAAACAACATGCTACCTTAGGAACCATCCTAGATAAATGATCACTCGAAATCCCCTTTCATTTATCTTTGATGTAATTTTGGTAAGCAAATTTGATGACTTACTGTTGTATATGTATAAACTGATCAAACTGATAGTCCACCTACAGTTTTGATGATTTTATTCGTTGTTATCATGATCATACACCCTACAAAACCAAAAAGATGACATTTCCTTCACCTTTAGTGTAACACCTCCTTCCCTTATCCGTGACCAAAAGCGAGTAAGAGATGTTACATGAAATTTAGAGAACTTTTCTTATTGAATAAATTGTTAAGTTACTGTTTGAAATTGAAATTATTTTGGTTGATTAAAAATTAAAAATTGATATTCTTTGATAAATCAATAAATGGTTTAAATTTGAATGCTAGAAAATTTGTTTGCCACATTTTGATTTGTATTTGAGAATTAAATACGGGTAAAGATATTACATCTAGGCTCTAGAATCATTGGATCAGCGTAGAAAAACTCTCTTCTTCATTATCTGGTAGTAATTGTATATGTACAAATAAATAAACTAATAGTCTATTGGTAATTATGATGACTCTATTGATCGTTATTATTATCCTAGGTCTGATTTTGGTCATCTTGTGGTCGAGGTATTTATATCCGAATGAGACTAAAAATAAGATTTTTCCGGATCTCTAGAATCAATGGACCCATATAGAAAAAGTGTTTCTTCTTTGTTACCCGATAATAATCATTGTCTATGACATTTTCTCATCGACTGCGACTCTTTATCTAAATCAGAAGAGGTAAACCGCTCACCATTCTTCTCATTTATAGGTTGCTTCAATGGACTAGCCAAAGATGATTATAATTGTTTTGGTTTTGGGGAAGGTAATATAACTGTTTTGATTTTTCGGGTGAGATCTCGACTGATTTTATCGATCATGAAATTTGTCCACGTTCATTATACCAATTGTTGATGACAACAAATTTATTTTGTTTTACGTTTACGGTTCATCCTTTTGATTTGAGCAGGGAGCCGTTCTCCCACTTTTCCAATTTCGTGGTTCCCATATCCTTCTAATCTCTTCACCTTATCTGTTTCAATATTCTACGTTTCTTCACTATATATATCAATTACTTACCTGTGTTTCTTCTGTTTCCATAATATATATGTCTGTGGGTCAGTCTCAAATATCATTACTTTTCTTTGACATCCACGAGAACTGACCTTATAATTTGTACAAACATGCATTTATGGCATATTAGATTTTTTTTAAATAAAATTGGGGGGTTATGTTTTCTTTTATTTTATTTTTTGTAGCTTCAGAAAAATAAAAAACAATTTAATCATATATAAATGAGTAGATTTGTAGCACGAACTAAACGATCTTCGTGATTAAAAAATTATTATTATTTCTTGAAATTTCGAGTTTAATCACTATAAATACTAAAGATATAAGTATTTAATGTCAAATTGTTAAAATTCATTAGTGAGAGTTGTATAGGACATGCAAAACTGCAAAAATATTAATATATAGTAAAGGTAAAGCAATAACTCTTGCTTACATTTTTCGGTATAGCTTGATAAACAAGGTTGAATGGCTTTTTCAGTTCTACTTTTTCACTTGTCCCGGGATAAATACTATTACTAGTACCGTAGGGCATGAATTGATAACGGTAGATACATTCCCATTAATTATACACCCCCATTTTACTTTGAATATTGCTCGTAAAACCCAACCTTTAGTTTCTAGTTTGAATTAGGGTTGGAATTAACGGGATGGCAGTATTATGGGAATACTATTTATTTATCAAAATAGTATATAAACAATATTATTTATCAAAAATGATTTTTTTTATATAAAGGTGTATCACGTGGGAAGCGTTTTTCAAAAGACATATTTTATAGGATGTGCTTTTACCAATGTAAAAACAAATTGTACGAATTTTATTAAAAATAAATAACGTGAGCACACGTATTTGTGTTGCGGAAGACGGCTATCGGATAGAGTAAAATCGCAACTGATAATTTAAGAAAATAAAAATGAAGATAAAAAGGACACAAAATTTACTTGGAAAACCCCTAAAAATTTGGGGTAAAAACTACGGACAACGGTAGAAGAATTTCACTATGAGAAAATAGGAATTACAACCTCTCTCGATCTACCAAGGAGAAAACAATGATAATTCTCTCTAGATAAAAAGGAGAAAACAACTCTCAAGAAACTCTCTAAAATCTCTCTAGTATTGGAAGAAAACTAGAATGCTTTGGGATGATTTTGAAGCTAAATGAGCTAGGGTATTTATAGTTGAAACTTAAGGACTAATCTTATAAATACCCTAAATTACAATGACTAAAATTAATTATCCCATTACCCAATTTCAACAAAAATTAGGTGCCTAATTTTTTACTTTGACAAAGCACCATTTGGTGCTTAATTTGGTGCCTAAATTATTTGACTTTTAACAATCTCCCACTTGAAGATTTGATTGGAATAATCATATCTTCACACTATTCTTTCTACCTTGTACCTTCATGTTGCTTACGTTTCTTCCACCTTTTCACGAATGAAATGGTATTGAACTCGTATGTGCTTTGTCATTGAATGAAATGCTGGATTCCTTGCTAGATGCAAGGCGCTTTGACTGTCACAAAACAGAGAGACATACTCTTGATTGTGCCCAAGCTCCTCCAATAGCATCTTCAACCAAATTGCTTCTTTACTGGCTTGTGTAGCTGCTACATATTCTGCCTCTGTTGTGGACGTAGCCACAACTGAATGCAATTTTGAAACCCAGCTTACAGCTCCACCAGCAATTTTGAACACATATCCTGTAGTAGATTTGTTTTTATCCAAATCCCCTGCATAGTCAGAATCTACATAACCATTGATTAGTAAGTTTGATCCTCCGTAACATAATGCAACATTTGAGGTCCCTTTGATGTATCTGAGGATCCTCTTTACAATATTCCAATGCTCTTTGCCTGGATTCGCCATGTACCGACTAACCACTCCCACTGCTTGTGCAATGTCTGGTCTTGTGCATATCAAGCGAACATTAAACTTCCCACTACTGATGCTTACGGTATTCGAGACATCTCCATCATCTCTTCTTCACTGCTAGGACTCATACTGGAGGATAATTTGAAGTTAATAGGAAGAAGGGTAGAAATTGGCTTACAATCTTGCATGTTGAATCGTGACAAGATCTTCTTCAAGTAATTCTTTTGTGAAAGCCAAATCTTCCTATTACTTCTGTCTCGGTGAATTTGCATCCCTAGAATCTTGTTTGCTGATCCCAAGTCCTTCATTTCAAATTCCCTAGCCAGTTGTGCCTTCAATTCTTCAATATAATCTTTGTTGGGTCCTGCAACCAACATGTCATCCATATATAACAGCAATATAACAAAATCGTTATCACCAGACCTCTTAAAATAAGCACAAGGGTCTGCATTAAGTCTGTTGTATCCAAGGCACATAATGAAGGAATCAAATCTCTTATACCAACACCTCGACACCTGCTTTAGACCATACAGAGATTTGTTCAACCTGCAAACCAAGTTCTTCTTTTCTTTTTCTTCAAAACCTTCAGGCTGGAGCATGTAAATCTCTTATTCAAGATTTCCATGAAGAAAAGCTGTTTTAACATCTAGCTGCTCTAGATGTAAGTTCAATGTAGCACACATTGCCAAAACTACTCGAACTGTTGTTAGTCGAACCACAGGAGAAAATATTTCATTGAAATCAATACATTCTTTTTGAGCATATCCTTTGACCACCAGTCTTGCATGATACCTCTCAACTTGATCGTCACCATTTCGCTTGATTTTGAAGACCCATTTGTTACCAATTGGCTTCCTTCCTTGTGGTAGTGACACAAGGTCCCATGTATTATCTTTATGAAGGGCTTCAATTTCTTCTTGCATCGCCATCATCC